TTGTTTCCTATGTTGGGATTCCATCATGTTCCTCAGATCCTCTATTTTTTTATCTGTGTCCTCTCTAGATTTATTAATCATGTCTTGCACTATGGACACAATCTTTGCTGTTATGTGAGAACTTATTTCTGATTTCATTTTTTCCAGATCCTCTTTTGTTGCCAGTTTAGAGAGTCCAGGTGGTTGAGTATCAGATTGTTCCATTTAGTTTCCCTTTGGGGTTGCTGTAGGTGATCTGGAAATCTGTTTTTGAGGCTTGTTTACATGTCTTGTCATTTCCATGGACGAAAGGGGGGGGTGCTTCTGGCTCCCGTGTGGCGCACCTTCTGTGCCCTAGGAGTGTGGACTGGCAGCGGGGGAGCCTTCTCCTGGGCACTGGGATTGGCTCACCTCCTCTGCCCTAGGAGTGGTGGAATGGTGGCAGAGGAGCCTCCTCCTGGGCTCTGGGATTGGCTCACCTCCTCTGCCCTGGTAGTGGTGGAATGGTGGCTGGTTAGCCTCCTCCTGGGCACTGGGATTCGCTCACCTCCTCTCCCCTGGGAGAGGTGGAATGGTGACCTATTTTTTTTAAATTATTTTTTGTTTGTTTGTTTGTTTGTTTGGGTACAGGGGATGGAACTTGGGTCCTTCCACTTGCAAGGCAGGCAGTGGAACCACTGAGCTAAATCCCCGGCCCGTGTGTATTACTTTTATATGTACAATATTCACACATACCATTGAGTAGATGTCTTATAGTAACTATAGCAGATACTTTCAGTGTTTGTTTTTCAAGCTCTATGTTCTTACATGAACTACCTTATTTAATTCTTGCTCTGTGACCTCATAGATGCTGTTATAATTACATATTAAAAATACTCATTCTACACATTTTATATATATATATATATCAGTATTTTTTTTGTGGTACTGGGGATTGAACCTAGTGCTTTGAGCATGGTAGGCAAGCTGTGTACCACTGAGCTATGTATCTCTAGCCCTAGAGCTGTATTTTTCTCTGAATCTTCATTATTGATTGGCAGAAGCATTTTGAACGATGGAGGATCCAGCTGGTATTGTTTTGTTGTCATTCGGAAGTCAGAGTTTGCCATTTAGCTTGGAGAATGAGGCTAGAGATTTAAGATTGAGAGCTATTTGCAGAGAGTTGAAATTGCACCAGTGAATCCTAGTGAGAGAAATGGTAGAGGTGAGGCAAGAAGAGAACCTTAACTGTCACCTGCATTAATGGTGCCGTAGAGAGGTGAACATTGAAGGAATCAGGCTTGTGTCCTGTAACAGAAACTAGTGGAATGCTAGTGGGATGTTGAGGAGTGGGTTTTGGGATTAAGGAATTGGTTGAGATGGAGAAGAGGAAGGAAAACATTTGGTGTTAGTGGGGGCCTGAGAGCTAGAGGGAAAGAAAGTGAGAGAACACTTACAGCGTTTCAGATACTGTGGGTGGAGTAGCTTCAGGTACTGCTCCTGGGAAGATCACATTGAAGCTTTGCCAGGGAGTGGATGAGGTGGTGATCATGTCAGAGATCTGGAAGGGATGTTGGTTTTCACATTCTGTTATGCACACTTCATGGGTTTGTGTGATGCTTCAAGATCTTCACTCATCCTTTAATCAGAGCATTTTTTTTTTTTGGTAGCAGGGATTAAACTTGGATCCTTGCACCTGCAAGGCAGGCGGCATAACCACTGAGCTAAATCCCCAGCCCCATTCAGAGCATAGTTTTTTAAAAAAGTTTTCATATAGGGTTTATGCATTAGCTATCAATTGAAGAATAGGGTTATTGTTATAGCCTTTCTGTTCTCTTCATTTGGCAGATAAAGAAGCTGAGGTCCTCAAAGTGATGCTAATGCCTTAGACATCAAATTAAACTAATACCAAAGTTAGTATCCCTAACTTTTCTCACCCTTATTGTACCCCCCCAATTCTGTATTTCCTATTGATCTCTCTATTTTTTAGAAGATGAAATTGAGGCAGAAGGTTTGTGACCCATCTAAGTTCATGTGGTATAGGGGTGGAGTTTAAACCCAAGTGTTATGAGTCAGTGGGAAAGAATCATATTGAGTGTGAACACCACAGCACATGTGCCATGCATGTGCCAAGAGGCAGCAACTGTGAGCATCATGGATTATGCCCAGCTCTTTTTGAGTCTGGAAATCTGGAAGAGGGCAACGTTTCCACTGAAATGTATTTTGAAATGCCTGATAATATCAGGATGCTTGCTTTGGTTGGATAGAGGTAAATGGAGGGTAAGAGATAGAAATTAAGTATGTAGGGAAGTTTCTTCTCTTACAACCAAGGTAGAATATTCTTAAATCTGTATTTCTTTTATTTGGTAGGTGCTTGCGGTAGGATGTACAATGTGCTTCCATTTCCTCATCTGTAAAACAGGAATAATAATAATATAGTCAACCATTAGGGTGTATGATAGACATCTTTTACGTTATCACAATCTAGTTTTAAATATATTGTATGACTGCAAATACACTATGAAAACTTAGTAAACTTCCATTTGTTTCTCTTCCCATCTATTCCCATGTTATCATGTTGTACTTCTAAATATGCTAAAATCCACCAAATACATGGTTGTTGTTGTTGTTGTTATTATTATTATTATTATTATTTTGTGGTATTGGGATTGAACCCAGGGCCTTCACACTGAGGCACATCCCCAGCCATTTATTTTTTTATTTTTACTTTTATTTACTTTTATATTGTGAGGAGACAGGGTTTCGCTGAGTTGAT